GGGGGTATGGGTGAAAACATGATGACACACATGACAAAGACTGACTCTTTCACAGACTAAAAATAAACCGAGGATTCATGCAGTATGGAAAGTCACTCCTCTCTTCAGTGTGCTCCAGGGTTGTTGCTGACATTTGTGATTTGATGACAAGCGTGTGAAGCTTCATCCGCTGCAGTGTCGACATTCTAACTGACAAGAATCTACATGTGACTCCTCGTAGTTCACAGTTTAGCACCTGCAAACAGTACGTACAAAAAGTCGCAGTGGAAGACAATGACACTTTGGTAACATGAACTTTCTTGTTGTCCGACAAAGGAGAGGAGAGGAATTGTGTGTTGTTCCACAATCCTGATGTGTACACAGAGGGTGGGGGCAAAACCAGAACTATCTGTCAATTAAATTATTATTATTATTAAATTAAGTCCGTACACATAGAAAAGTAAAGTTTGTGTGCACATGCTTGGTCGTAGTTCAATATCTTTTTATTCAGTCATGAAAACGTTCCTCCAGATTAACACAAAGCAAAATTAATTATTTACATTTGTAACCGTAAAACCGTGCACATTCTAAATTTTACATTTGCAATAAAAACCCATTCTGATTCTGATAAGTTAAGGACAACAGCCCCTGGATAAAGACATTTGGTTTTCACTGTTTTGTGTAATTAAATATTAATCATAGGCATAATTAACACTGTTACTGAAAGACATACACACAGCGGCTTGAAAGAATAGAATAAAAAAAGATTGAAGGTGATACAGTATTTATTCATGTGTTGTTGTGTTGGATTTCATCATGTTGTTCAGATTTTGCTTTGGTTAAAGTTTCCATTTAAACTCAGGACATGTTTCTAATGCAGTTTATTTCCAGTCATTTTAACTTGAACAGCCCCTCGATGATTTCACTTTGAGCTTTTTATAACTTCTTCCTCTTCACAAACGTCTGACTTCATTTCTCGTCTGTTTACTCATCGTCTTCCTCTCATCTGACCCGTGTGTGACTCTCTCTGCACGTTGGGTTCGGTGTGATCCTCAGACTGAGTCTGAGCTTCGTGTCCCTGATGTGATGTGATGTCTGCGGTCACCTCCCATGTCTCAGGTGAGAGGCGGAACAATGAGCAGCAGCATAAAGGCTCAGAGCATTTCACAGCCAGTGTCTCTCTGCCTCTCTCTCTCTCTCTCTCTACAACTGACACAGCTGACAGGTGAACTGCTTTTCTAACCGACCACAGGTGAGATTTCATTCACTCTTAAATAACATTCTGATCCAGTAACATCCTCACTGATTGTATTATCACTATATTATCAATTATCACTGCTATTCAAACAACAAACTCTTCTTTTGTGTGAATTCTTTCAAATCCTTCATTTATTAAAATTGTAAAATAGCATAGTTTATTTTTTGTTTTTTTTAAGTAAAGTGATCCAGCATTTCCTCTGAGCTGCTCCTGAACCAAACCCTGCCGCTGAGGCACCGGAGGACTCGGGGAAAACCCCAAGATGGAGTCGGTTTTGAAACCGGCGGCTCTTCTGCTCACACTCTGGTGCTGCTGCAGTAAGTTCACACACGGATCGTTATACTTTTTCATTCATGCAGCTGTTTAACATTGCATAGTGTTGGTTTTGTGCATTTTGTTTGTGAGAAAAATTCCCCCCTGATATTGTAAAAAAACCAAACATCTGTTTACTTCAGGTGCTCAATACATTTCCAGCATAAGTCCACGTCGAGGAAGCTACAACGGAGGAACACGACTCACAATTACAGGATCAGGTGAGAGTTGAATTAAAGAGCGGGTAATAAAACTATATGACTAATTATCTAATATCATTTTCATCCATAGCAGTTAAGGCTCAATATATAGAGATGTATTGCTGATTCATTGTGTAAGTGCCTTAGGTGATATAACATATAAATCAGTGTTTACTGTTTATCAAGTGTTTGTCAGTCTCATTGAGAAGAGTTTAAAACCACAACCTTCACTCAGATGAAACAAATCAGTGTTCAAACTTTCAATAATCATATAATGAAATAATAATTTATCGTGATAATCATCAAGTTCTTTTTAATCTCCCATCATCCAGCTCTATGTTGAATCCTCGATAGTCTTCACAGTTTTGTCAATGGTAACATCTGATTTAAAATGATGCTGATTCAATAAGTGTGAATGTTATTTTTCATTCCAGTTGCGGAACTTTAAACTTTAAACGAGGCATAAAACTGATTTAATATTGGTTTAAAAAGTCCAAAGCGTCGCAGATTGACGTTTTAAAAATTGATCCTTGTTGTAATTTCATTTCGTTTCCAGGTTTTTCCCAGGAGGGACAGTTCCAGCTGAATCCAAAAAACGACACCTTTGGTAACCATGTGACCCTGGTGTCAGGTACCTTGTCGATCCCCTGCGATGTGGAGAGAGACTCAACACACGGCAACCAGATCATGTGTTACACCAGGTACGCTTCAGGCCGAGGGGACTTTCGACACAGAAAAAAAAATGTATTCATGCCACTTCAGCGGAAACTGTCCCTTGTTTCCATCACAGGCCGATGCCCCGTGACTTGTACGTGGCCCACGTTAGGGTGGATGGTGTTGCCATTCCTGACAACCAAATATGCCGCGGCAATCTACGCAATTGTGGCATTAATGTAAGTTCTACGGTTTAACTTTTTCATCTGATCGTCCCCTGCTGTCAAGTTTGAATTCTCCGCACACGCTTCTTTTGTTCCTGTCTCTCCTCAGACTCTTTGGTATCGCACCCCCACCATCACAAATGTTGTTCCGGTCAGCGGCCTCCCAGGTACAGTCCCCAGCTCCACAGCACGTGGTGACTTCAGTCCAGTTCGAACTTTTTAAACTAATTCAACTTCAATGTCACTGCAGGCACAGTAGTGACACTGCGAGGCCTGATCTTCACGGACGTGTATGGAAGCAACACGGCCGTGAGCTCGAATGGCCTCAATACCAGATTTGTGAGGTACGAAGATAGAATGACACTTAGATAATGTTCCAGCTATAAATATTGTTCTTTTATCCATTTATTCTCTTGCCGAAATTATATGTAACGTTAAAATTTAAAGTTACTTTAAAGAAGAGGTTTATTTTTCATGCTGTGTGAAAACGTATATACATTTAACTGCAGTCTGTTGATCCTATCTTGTTCCTCTTGCAGGTCCTACATGGGCGGTATGCCGTGTGAGATGCTCAAACCACAGTCAGATGAACTGTAAGTGGCTTTTCTACTACATGTGGATTCAGTTTAGAAATGAAATCAAAGTGAAAATGCAGCACAATGACGGTTCAGAAATGTTTCTTAGCAATTTAAGTAGTAAATGTATCATTCACATTTCTTAAGATATAACCTGCGACTGGATTCAGAAAATTCCTACTGGGGATACATGAGCTGCAAAATGACGGGAACATATATTGGTAAGCTGGTTTGGTTCACGGTTATAGCTGCTTTTAATATGTGTATTTTTAAGTTGTCCGAACATTTCATTTATTATGTTTTATCTCCAAAAGGGCATCACAACTTGAGTTACATTCTGGATTCTGACTTTGGAAGGTAAAACATTGTGCCAACTCCAACTTGTGTCTACAAGTCTTTAGATTTTAACTTCAAATTAAGATCTGCTCAGATTACAACCTCTGAAGACCCAGATAAAGTGAAATGAACTGATGCTACACACACAGCAACACTAATAATGTTTATCTTTCCTTTACTATAGGAGTCTTCCAGATTTTAAGCTGTTCAGGGTTTCATCTGTGGGCAAACTTTCCATGTTCCAGAGCTATGCAGGTACTTCAGACAGACATTTATTCACAGTAAATGTTCAAGTAAGTCTCGTTACGATGATGTGTTTGTCGCTTTTTCTCGAGCAGAGGTGACAGGAGTGTCTCCATCCAAGGGCAGCGTCACGGGCGGAACCCTGCTGACCGTCCACGGCCGCTTCTTCGACCAAACCGATCAGCCGGCTCGTGTTCTCGTTGGAGGTAATCTTAATCTTAATCACAGTTTTGGGAAACTTTAAACAAAAACTCAACTGCTGTCGCCAAGTTTCCAGCACTGACTGCTTCAACAAATTGTTTTACACGACATGAAAGTATTTTGCATTGCTGTGGTGCGTCTCCACCAAACAAACCCTACACATGGTTGGGGCCCGTTGTCGTGCAGCGGTAGTAATCCTTTTCAACACCACACAATGTGCACATACTTTACAACAAAAGAAAACCTGTGCAGGAATTCCTGCACGATAGAAGTGAAATATTAAGAGACAGTAGACCATGACGGTCTTTCACAATATTGCATGAGTCATTTATCAAGCTGTTGACTTTGAGATACACTTGACACATTTGTATAGGAAGTTGTTCTTTCTCAATCACAGCTAAAATCTGATGACAATGAACTTTAAGATTAATTTTATGGTCCAAGTCAAACAAACATTCACAATTTGAATAATAATAATAAAACACTTGACATGTTGTTTTTTTTAATCTGTCCACAAACACAGATACTTTAATCTGTCATCGTGTAAACTGGAATTTCACAACAATAAAAAGATGTAAGAAAGACAAATAACTCATAAACAGAAAACTATATAGAGTAGATTATGAGCATCTAAATCTAGCACTGAATGTCAATAAAGTACCTCAAAACCGTATTTAAGCATATTCAAGCACAGCACAGTACTAAATGTGCAAGTGTCTTGAAGTCAAAGGGTTGAAAGTTGCTCTTAATTGTATTTACAGTAAGAAGACACTCGACCGAAACTTGACTTCAAAGATAAAGTCGTGGCGGAGGAAAGTTATTTCGTGCTTTCATTCACGGGACATTTTTCTTTCTTCAGGTCTGCCTTGTGAAATCCAGAGTGTGTCCGATGACAGAATAACGTGCAGAACTGCCGAGCACCAGATGAACAACATGAGCGTCTACCCAGGTGGGAACATGCCGTCTCTTTCTTCGTCTTGTGATGTGATTGCCTGCCTTATTTTTTGCTGTGTCATTGTTGGTTCAGTGCCCGAACATCCGTTGTCGTCTTGATCAGTGGAAGAATCTAAAGCATCTGCCAGCACACCCGCTGTCGTGAAGATGTTGATCTCGTCCCATCACTTCGCCAGCCTTTGATTTGCTTTGTGCTATAAGAAGATAATTCGTCGTCTTAACGAGACGAAAGAATGTTTTTATTCACGCATCAAACAAAATGTTCCGACAGAGTGTTGTGACTCATCTTCGCCGCTTGAAACAAAACAAGACCGATTCCTTCCGCTTTTATAATTAAAATATTTTTATAGATTTTTCCGTAGCACCAACATCAACAACCAAATCAAAGAAATGTGAAGTCTCATGGTTGAAGTTGTTTGGTTAAAAGCCTTGGCTTTAGGAATTTGTTTTAAAGACAAAGTACTATGAATGTACTGTTCATTGCTTGTGTCTGCATTCATTTGCATTCTTTAGTTAAGATCTAAATCTGTTACCTGATGGTCTCGTCACATGTACGTCCAGGTAGCCGAGGGTTCAAGACAGAAGTGTGGAACAACACAAGACCCAGATACTTGACCGACATCTGGAACTACAATGAGAACACGACTGGATACTGGTCACGGTGGATCGATTCCATGCAGCATGACTTCCCTACAACTTTGACTAATTTCTGCTCACGATCCAGAGGCTTCATTGTCCCTCCGACCACGGGTAACTACAGGATAACCATCCAGTGTGATGACCGATGTGAGCTCTACTTCAGCAACTCCAGTCGCCCAGAAGACAAAGTATGACAAGAGAGTTTAGTTCAACCTGAAAAAAATAACATGATACATTTATTTCTTAAATATATATATGATATAAATTCATTTTTGTACATGCTCCACTTTAGGTCAAATTATTGAGCCAGCCTTGGTATCAAAGCTCCTACACCATGTCCAAATTGATGGTTCTCGAGAAAGGAACACCGTAAGTGCGGCCCACAAATCACTCATCCATCGTGTTTCCTTACTGTGGCTGAGAACACATGCACGACAATAACAACAAATCTCATTTTTCTTTAGCTACTACATAGAAGTACTACAACAGCAGAATGGCGGTCCAGCGGGTTTGAATATTGGCTTGTTCAGTGAGAAGAGTCATTATACACAATACCAAACAAAGGATGCCATCAACGAGATCCAGGATATCGTGGGTCGATATGACGTGTTCGACGAAGAACAGGTGTGTGTGTGTGTTGCCTCACCTGATGCTAACCTACCTGACCTGCGGAGGCTAAATAACTCGCCATAACCAGTAAAGCACAAAACGAACCATCACCACCTCTTAAAAAATGTGTTCCAGATTTCTGAAAATAGAAAAAATAAATAGATCGAAGGTTTTTTAATTCTGCTCTTTTATCTGTACGCTGAATGTTACGTCCAATCGCTAAGAGATTATTAGCTTAGCTTAGCATAAATACTGGAAACAGGGAGCTAGTCCTTTTTTTTTTAGGTGAGAGAACTCATTCTGCGCTCTTATCTTTATGCTAAATGCTAAGCTAAAGCTCTTAGCTATGAGATGATTTCCTCAGCTCAGCATAAAGGCTGGAAACTTGGCAGAACACATTAAACAACAAATTTGATTCTACACACGGAGGACGAGGGGTGCTGGGTGTGAGGGAAATAATAAGATGGTGTTAAACAGCACATAATATACAATTTTAAATTCTAAATGATCCCCATCCTTTTAATAATTCCACGTTATGACTCATGATACACCTCTAAAGTTCATTTTCACTGTCCCTCAGGTGGTTTCCTTTGACCCGTGGCCGAGCAGCTCTACCGCAGTCAAAGAGGTTCAGAAGGTGAGCGTCAGCAGCGGCTGTGCCAGCCATCTCTGTGGCAGCGTCTTCTTCAACCTGGGCTACGGCAACGCCAAGACTGGTACGATGTGAATCACTTGACTAACTGTACAAACTATGGCAGTTCAGCATTAGTCAGAAGTAAAACCCTTCAGGACTCATCTCATGAAACCACATTCAACTCTGTGTTTGTCTTCTTCAGCTCCAATCCCAGTCAGAGCCTCAGCAGATATGGTGGAAAAAGCCTTGAACAGCCTTTGGTCCATCAAACCGGACACGGTTCAGGTCACAAAGCAGGATTTCAGCCAAGGATCCCACTACTTAGTCACATTCAATTCTGACAGAGGTAAGAAGAGACAGAAAAACACGTCTGGGAGGGAAGAGGATCGATGTCTGCAACACATAATGTCTGACTTTTTGACTGCAGGTGATTTCAAACCTCTTCACTATGAGGTTTTTGGCTCGGACACTAACGTCTCTGTTGCGGAGGTCACCAAGGGGAGGAGCAACATGACGACATTCACTCTGCTCTGGGGGGGAGTCCCAACAAAACCCATCGCCTATAACGCAACTGACGTTCAGGTCTGTCACGAAAAAAACATCTTGGAACAGTAGATCTCACTGTTCTCATATCGACGATGTTTAATGTTTGATGAATGTTTGAGGGGTTTTTGTTTTACCGGAAATTCAGAATCCCCCAAATCTACAAACTCTCTCTCAACTAAAAATGATCGTGATATAATGACTCCTCGAGTGGATGTGCAGTTTATTCAGAAACAATACTAACGTCCACCTGGTGTGATCGTGAACAGGTGCAGTCGGCTCTGGAGGACATGATGAAAGCCGAGTGTCCCGCTGAGATCCTGACCACCGAAGGCCCCGACGTGAAATACTTCAAAGATTTCGAAGACGACAACTCTCAGGTCGGCGAAGCCAAGAAGAAAAATCTCTGTTTTCTTTAACTGTCAAATAAAATGAGAAATGCAACAAACACTTTCAGGTCAAGCTCGAGTGGCTGAGCACACACCAACTAAATGTGCGTGTTTGTTTCCTCACCAGTTTGATACTGGAAGGGAAGGGACTCCTGTGAAACACTCTGGTTTCTGTGGCCAGTGGTCACTGAAGAACGCTCAGGATCTTTTCAAGGAAAGCTACACTCAAGCGTCCGGGGACAAATATGGACAAGTTTCATTGGACCGATATCCCACGGTAAAACACACAACTGCTTCATTTCAAGTTGTTGAACTGCTGTTGAACTTTTATCGTTAAACGTGAAATCTCCGCCTTTTGTCCCAGCTTTGTTTCGCCTACAAGGGAACGTTGAAGGATGAAGTTGGAATGAGATTCTCGTATCGCAACAGCCAAGGGCAAACCGCGACACAAACCGCAAAGAGCCGCACAGTCTTCACTAAAAGCCAAAAGTCAGTTAAAAACCATAAAAATGACTTTGATTTGTCATTAACACTGTGTTAAGACCCTCCTTTGATGAGGTCGGTTTTTCTTTCTCCACAGATGGAGTTACAAGTGCATGGACATGCTGAGTTCTCTGCAGACTGAATATATTGGCAGCAGATACCAACTGCTGGAGTTCTACCTCTACCAAGACGCCTCTGGTGCAGATTTCTACGTGGACGCCGTTCACATCGGAAAGAGACCGACCACAACTAATGAAAATGGTACAAAGCTCCACAGTGGTTTTATTTAGCGTCCCAGTCGACTGCTCAAAAGTGGAGATTAACAAAGAGAAATCGCACAGGCCAGGAAACAGCATCAAATTACATATTTTTGTTACCATCACAATAAATGTTCAACAATTAACTGTGCGGATCTGTGTTGTTCCCCTCAGCTGTTCCCCTCAGGAGGAGGCCTCCACCGTTCGAGCACCACGGACGTTTCTTCAGTGCGATCTCTGTTTCCAAAGTCACGTCAGCTGCTGCACAGATCAGCTACAATATTAAAGCCACACCAGTGGAGTGTGCCTTTGATTTCCAGATGCTAGAAGTCGCCTTCCTACAGGTAACGGATTAACGGACATATTGAGAGAAAAAGGTTTTCAGATGAATGATTTGTCGCCTGCAGATTCCTGCATTGGAGCAATAGTTGACCACAGGAAAAACGTAGATTAAGTGTCTGTTTCTTAATGTGATCAAATATATTTTTTTAAATTTCAGTAACTTACACATGAATAAAAGTTTAGCTGTTGAAATCCTCTTTTTTTTCCAAACCTTGGGGGGAAAAAAACTGAATAAAAGAGTTAAGTATGTGACAGAAGATGGGTCTTTCCCATTCACTCTGGTGCAGAGTGTGATGGAGCAACAATGTGGAGTCTGTAAGTGGCCTAATCTTTTGTGTCTTGGGAAATAAAATCCAATATGAGTCAGCGCGCCACACCATGTGATATAACTCGCGGTTCGGAGAGGCGCCACAATGACCCTGTGTTGTGTGTCATGTCTCAACAGCCTGAACAGTCATCCTCCTAAAAGATTACAACAGAATCAGGGACGACTGCTATGACAGTCAGTCCATCCTTACCTCATTCTGCAGTGTCTATAAACATTGACTTCTTCCCCATGAAAATACTAAATAGAATTTTTTCAACTGGGCTGAAAAACAAGATTAAATATTTCTTGATTAAATTTCATAGTAGTAAGTACGGACCAGTTCAGCTTTTACATCCTAAGCTAGTTTGCAGTGTCCTTTCTTATATTAACCTTTAAACAAGTACACAAAACTACACAAGGTTGTTCGCAGCACAAATGGTAGAGGTGTCTTTTGTAACTCCGTTTTTTTTTTCCCCCATGTCAAAGATGTCTAACAGCAGCGAGGACACGGCTGAGTTCAGGGAGGGAGCGGCCAACGTCACCATCACTCGGCTGCACAGAGCCTCGCCTCCTCTGAACGGCACATTTGATGTGGAGATTTATGGGGGAAGAGCTGAAGGTAGATCAGACTGTGACACCTGAAACTGTCCTGCATCATTCATAGGAAGAAAATTCACTATGTAGGATGTGATACTCGTGGTATTTGTGCCAAAACACTTTATTGGGACAGCAAAACATGTATTAAAGATTCCAAGTCCCACGTATCCCTCCACTTCTACCTTCATGCAGAACATGTGTCAGAGTGACTTCTGCAGGGAGGTGTCTAACACAAACAGTGCTCGTTCTCAGGTCTGTCCGTGGACATCAGCGAGGAGGACCTGAAGTACGCTCTGGAGGGAATCGCGGGGATGGGACAGGTCAGCGTCACGTACCAGAGAACCTGCAGACAGCCCAAGTGGAGGGTTAAGTGGCTCACAAACCCTGGAGGCCAGCCTTTGATTCAGGTCAGAACACCAGTAAAAGTACTAGTAATTCCTTTATTAGTATCAGTGGAAGTAGTAATGCAGAAGCTGCAGTGCCTGTAGCATTAAATACGTGTAAATATGAATGTGAATATTGTTTATTTGCAGTGTTTATTCCCCTGTGCCGATCATTTAACATGTTTCAGCAGCAGCTTGGTCAGATTGTGTCGTACACTCATTACAGATCAACAGCTCCTCAGTCGTGGGTCAAAATGCAGCTATTAAAGCTCAAGCGAAGACAAATGGAGGACTGCACATCAAAAGCCTGGGAGGAGATTTCTTCCGTGTCTGGGAACCCAAACCTCAGGTAAAACTATGATTCAAACAGCCTCTGGCCCATGTGGATTTTAGTTTGGCCTTTATTCACCTGTCAACTGTGCGGTCTGACCACATTCACTTCACTTGTGTTTGTCTTCTATAAACCCTGCAGAGCAAGTCCTGTGGTTTTCTGTTTGCTGTCGTTTTTATTTTGTGCCTCCGGGCAGGATTTCATTCCACTTTCTTTGTGTTGAAGTGATTGACAGCTACACTGTTCTAATGACTCTTGTATCAGGTTCACATTCTGTCCTTGATTGTACTCGGTGATCTTCACAGGTGGAGGTGTCCATCAATGGAATTCCCTCAAAGTGTTCTGGTGACTGTGGATTCGAATGGTCCGAGGAGAAGACTCCAGTGGTGACTGGAATCAGCCCATCTCAAGGTGAACTTTGAACATGTGTGCGGCTTTATTGGGTAATGATTGATTATTTATTGTGTAAAAATTATTTCGCAATAAATCATTTAAATGTAATGGTCCCCAAAAAATCTACTTGAGGAGGATTTAGCGCAAAATACTATATTGAAAAACTTCTAGTGCAGGTTCATAAATATGTCACTTTTTATGGTCGTATGTGTTTTTAAATACATTTGTGCTTGGTGATTTACAATTTTGTCTTTTTTTTTTTTGCTTTTTCTCAATAAAAATGATAAATGTGTCACTTTTGAATATTTAATAATCGAAGAAAAATGTCAGTAAAATATCTCAGGCCTCCTCCGAGTACTGTATCTATGTGGTTATGAATTTCAGGATCAATGGGGACTCTTCTGACTGTTACTGGGATGAACTTCGCCAACGAAAATGCCTCCATCATGGTGGGACAGGTCAGGTGCCATGTTGAACAGACCACAGGTAAATGAGACACGTTTTGAGAGGTGACAGCTTCAGGTTGTTATTATTATTATTATTATTATGAGCCAGCTTTAAATCAAATCAATTTTTTATTTCAGCAACCTCTCAGGTGTGCAGGCTGGGCAGTGCCAGCGCTGGAACCTACCCTGTGTCTGTCACCTTCCCCTCGCTGGGGAACTCCCGCTACGCAGACAGCAACATCACCCACTTCACCTACCGGCTCATTGTGTCGTCTTTCTCTCCACTGTCTGGAAGTTTAGGAGGTACGTCACAGCTCCGAAAAAACCCCCCAGCTGCACTGAAATAAATACCCACAAATTATGATGTTATACACTTTTTCATCAAATGTTTTTTTTCTAGGAGGCACTCTGCTGACGGTGAAAGGCTTCGGCTTCAGTCAGAACACCACCGTGACCATCGGCAGTGTCAAGTGCACGCTGGTTCACACCAGTGACACTGAGCTGAAATGCAGAACACCACCAGTACGTGTTCAGACTCCAAACCACTGCTTCCTAACGAACGTTATACTTCTGCATTACCTAACATCTCAGACCAGTGTGACCAAATCTTATCAAGCTAAAGGTTCAATGTTTGCAAAGAACTTCGGCTCTAAATAAGGATATTTGCTTATTATTTTCTTTTTCCAGGGTCTTGCTCCATCAAACCTGGTGACAGTGACGGTGGGAAACATGAGTGAGACGGCCAACGGCTCCTTCAACTACGACGCTTTGCTCACTCCTACTGTCACAGGCCTGAGTCTGCTCACGTCCACGGTGTTCGGTGAGTTGAGTCAAATGTGTAATGAACTCCCGGTGAGGTGAGATCATCACGCAGTAAATGGTTGTAGGGATGGGTGAACTCAGAAGATTACTGGGATGTTCTTCTTTTTTATTCACTTAAATGGAAGTTTGAGTTTAGTGGGCAGGATGGGTTTTGTTCTTGAAGGTCAATGGAAACTGGATCTGTCTGCATGTGATGCAGTTTGTGCTCTGCTTGGCCTTTGTTTATGAAAAGAACAGGATGTCATTTCCTGTCCTTCTCTCACAAAACAAAACACTCAGTCTATACAACTAAAGTATGTTAAAGAATATAGAGTATTTTTGTGTTTTTGTCTGTAACGTTGCTCATAATGTTAAAAATCAAGCACTCTATTAATCTGAAGTGTTCGGTCGTTATCAGCCCGCATGTGAAATGTCTCTCTAACATTACATCAATCAGAATGAGAATAAGAATGCCTTTACTGTCATTGAACAGGGTGTACAATGAAATTGTAATTGCATGTGTCGCCAGGAGCTTAAAGTGTTGTCAAGTGTCAAAATCTTTTGTTGTCGCTTGCACCTCCAGAGTTTGCTTCTCGAGTTGTGTAATGTTGAGTCACAGGTTTTCTCTGTTTCTTCCGTTGCTTTTGTAAAAACCTTGAGAATCTGAGCTGAGGACACTTGTAATTATAACAGACAATACAGGAGAACGCAGACAAGGAGTAAACCTACAGAACAAACAGTGGAGCGTTGCTCAAGAAACAAAGGGGATTTAGTCGAGTGACAAGTGATCATTATGTTGCCAGTTGAGCTGTAGAATCTTTTTCCATGCGATAACGTGTTGATGTCGTTTGACTCCGGTTTGTAGAACGCCGACTTCTCACCATCCAGGGTTCCTCCCTGGGAAGCGGAGATAATGCAAGCGCCGTGTACGTAGGCGGAAAGGAGTGTGTCCCCGTGCACTGGGCAGCAAACAACATCAGCTGTCATCTGCCTGTGCTGCCGCCTGGTCTGTACAAGGTGGAGTTACAGGTCAAGAATTTGGGCTTTGCACAGATAAGGTAAAGATACCCGAGAAAGACATGTCCACGGTTAGGGATTTAGAAATACTCTCACATAGTATCTGCAGAAAAGCAGAACAAATACTTTCATTTGCGTCTCTTCTGTACTCTTTTTTTTGTTTTTTGTCTCATAGCAACAGCACGAATGGCACCATTGAGTACATCCTGGAGGTCTACAGCATCACCCCGGTGTTTGGCTCCTTGATGGGAGGGACCCGGCTCACCGTCTCTGGCTCTGGTTTCAGTAACAGCACGTCTGACAACAAAGTGTCTATTGGTGAGCAACATGAAGCCCAGAAATTAAAATGCACACGGTAATAATCCACACCAGCAAGTGGGACAACAGTGGAACTGGATATCAGAATTATGGCTGAAGGGGAAACTATAAGAGCTACTTTACAGTGATGTCTCTTTATATGGAAAACTTTTTTTGTTTAGCAGCTCACACATGTTTTCTGTTTGTTCGCGGTGTGACAGGAGAAGCTGTGTGTGAAGTGAAGCTCGCCTCTGCCAACGAGCTGCAGTGTGTGATGCAGTCAGAGGAGAAGACCCACACCGTCACCAATCAGGGATCCCACAGCAGTACGTCTACATTTCCATCCATTGTTCGCCCGTCAAACTAAATCTGAGCAGACGGAAACCGAGCACAACAGGTCGAGGATTATTTACAGAAAACTGCTGCGAGCAAGGAAGCTGTCACCTGCAGCTTTAGTGTGACGGCACCTATTTTTAAAAACCAGTCCGAGCTGTGTTTTTCCATCATAAGCCACATTTCAAAACGGATTTACTGTGTTTAAATGACACCTTGCTGAAGCTCAAATAATGAAATCTCTCATGTGTGTTGATCCGTCTGTCAGTAACTTGAAATGTGTCTGCGTGTTGCAGCTTACGGACAGGGATACGCGTGGAGTCCTGCCTCAGTCACAGTGTTCGTCGGGGACACAGTGATGTGGCGTTGGGAGGCGCCGGCCTTCCAGAAGGTGGGATACAGGGTTTTCAGTGTTTCCAGCCCCAGTGGCACCACTTACGAAGGGGGACCATTCACCAGCGGAGACACCAAAACCAGCAAAGGTAGAACAACTGAAATTAGGGGGATTAAAAACGATTAAAGACCGATGAAGAAGCCGGGATGAAATCATTTTGATGACATAAAGCGGCATTTTACTGTTGAACCTGGTCGAGTTAGTGCTCGAGTTTGAATTTAATTTATAAGCCTTTTATACTTTTATTTATTTCCTTTGTGGATGATTCAGAAACTGAATAAGAAACGAGATGAAATAACAGTGAAGCTTTATCGTACATGCGGCTCACACTAAGTTGCAATGCATTGTGGTCCATCTGCACCGTAGCTGCGGCTGAAACGTGACCTCGCCTTGTTGACAGTTGACGGCTCATTTCACATAGATGCTATTATCAAAAAGCACTTTAACATTTGCCGTGACAAACGAGATAAGTGACACGCGAGGAATGTGATGTGTGCTTCATCGTGTGTCACACCTTTTATAATAATTCAAATGTTCGAGTATGCTTCATGACTTGATGTGAGATAATTACAGTCTTTCTCTCCCTCTCTCATTCTTCAGGGTACTTTGGCTACCGCTTCACTGCCCCCGGCGTGTATTACTACAGCAGCGGCTACATAGACGGTGCTAACACCAAGCTGCTGCAGGGAGTCGTGAAGGTCGAGCCTCGGCAGCAGAGGAGCAGCAAGGCCTCCGTCAGCGTGGGAGGGATAGAAGCCAGACACGTGATGGGAGGTAAATATTCACATGTGAATAAAATAAAAGTTGCTTATCCTCCTGTAAAACTGAAAATACAAAATAAAGCAAAGGTGTGACTGTGCTAAATTTAGATATTTATTTCAAACTAAAAGATTATGAAACGTCTCCCCTCCAGGTTCCCGCCGTGTTGCCAGAGATGCCCCTCAGTGTGTGGCCACGCCCCAGTGCCCGGGGACCAATCAGAGTGCGGGCGGTCTTTCTTTCAGCACCTCCACCTGCTCCACCCCCACAGTCACCTCCATCTCCCCCAACCAGGGCTCGTATCACCAGGTCATCCACATCCAGGGCAGCGGCCTCAGCGACATCGCCTGCGCTAATGAGGTTAGCAGTGTTTTTGTTTTTTTTGTGTTTTTTTTTTGCTCACAGCAAAATGTTATGTAATTAGTGTGATTTATTGAATTAAACCACACAAGCAGATTTTTATGGTGATTTTTATAGCAATCAGTACATTTCAGTTAAATAAAGTTAAATAAAATGTTAAGATAGAGATAGAATAAATAATGAAATATAAAGACCTCTCAGGACTCTTGTTTTTCAATAATAATGATTATAATAAAACAATAGCAGCCTGTTAAAAGCGATTTGAAGATCACACAACATTAGGAACATAAATATAAAATGAAAACATTTTCCAAATGAGAAAATTTAAAACTAAATTGAAGTTAATTTCATTCTAAAATGATTAAAATAGTCCAAATATTTTTGACTTGTATTGTGTTCTCAGCCTTGATTTCAGTCCCTCGGTATCAAAGTGAGTAATTGTGCGTTCCGGCAGGTGACGGTGGGAGATCAGCCCTGTCAGGTGATCAACAGCTCGCACTCTGCAATCTTCTGCCAGCTCAGCCCCAGCAGCGAGCTCGCCGTCGGTGTCGCTCTCCCCGTAGCGGTCAGAGTCAACAACCTGGGCAGTGCCATCATTAATGTGCCCAACGAGCTCGGCCGCCGCTTTGTTGTTCTGCCTGTGGTCGACTCTGTCTCGCCCCCTGTCGGCAGCACCACGGGCCACACCAGACTCTCCATCCGCGGCTCCGGCTTCTCTGCGGGACAAGTGACCGTTGCCAGCGAGGCCTGTGTGTTTGTGTCGGTCAATTACACCCATATCGTCTGCGACACCGCTCCCTCTCAGCCGCACACCGGTGATGTCACCTTCCAGACGGGCAAGATCCAAAGCTCCTGTCACTCAAACTGCTCCTTCATGTACTCTTCCTCCATCACTCCGACCGTCACCAGCGTTTCCCCCGACACCATCAGCGGCCTCACGACTGTAAACATCTCCGGCTCAGGGTTCGGCAGCCGTGTGGACGATGTGGTCGTTTTCGCCAGCAGCATCGCCCTGGCAGTGACCGCCGTGTCAGACAGCAACGTAACGGTACGAGTCGATGCTCTCCCCGCAGGCGACCACCCAGTCAAGGTCATTGTGAGGAGCAAAGGCCTTGCCTCCGGTCAGCCCACCCTGAGCAGCAGTGCCCAGGCCGTCCTGAGCCCCAGCGAGGGCAGCATGGCAGGAGGAACTCGTCTTGTCCTCACAGGAAACGGCTTCGCTCCGGGGAACACCAGCGTGACGGTTGGCGGCAAACACTGCAAGATTGAGGAGGTGACGCCGGGTGTTCTTCGCTGTCTGACGCCTCCTCACAGCGAGGGCCAGGTGGCCGTCAACATCCGGGTCCTCTCAGTGGAGTATCCTCCACTCAGCTTCACATACTCTGCAGCCCACACGCCCAACATCAGCTCCGTCAGCCCCACCACCGGTAATTCTCCTCCTCCTCTTCATGTGCTGTGGAGAGATCGTTCTAGTTCAATAAACAGGGGCTGCAGTACAGGAAGCTAATCCACTCATTAACCTGACTACACCGTTTATTTCCCACAGGGCCGAGCGGTTCAGTCGTCACTCTGACCGGTTCAGGGTTTGGAAACGACTCTCAGCTCATCGCTGTCACCATAAACCACGTGGCCTGCAATGTGTCCGCGGTCTCCGACACACAGGTTCAGTGCACTGCGGGGGACAACCCCGGGGGGACGTACGGGGTCACGCTGCATCACCAGGTCAAAGGTCACGCCCTGTCAGAGGTCATGTTCACGTACGAGCTGACTCTCAGCAGCGTGCAGCCCAGTCAGGGTAAGCAGAGACACAGGAAAAAACACCATTGCTCCATTTTCCTAATTTCTTTCTTTTCAGGTCCCACATCATCCAAACATATTCCCATGTATTTCTTGTTTTCTTCACTGCAGCGATTTAATCTCTCATTTTTTTAGAATATAAAAGATAAAGAACAAACTCTATTACAATAATTCATCTCAAGTGTCATGGGCTATCTGAGAATAATATGAAAACAAAAGCACAAAGCAAAACAAACATTTCTCTCAGTAGTTTCCTGTGACGTCCATCGTGTCCACGAATGTGACAAAGTGCAAACTGCTCGTCTGTCGTTATTTATCTTTGAAAAGTTGAAATCCTGTTTTGAAAGTCCGTAAGCTTTGATGCACCGTCAATATTTCTCTAATCGAATCTCTCATCTGTTATCAGGCAGTTTTGGTGGCGGAGCTCGGCTGAGCATCCAGGGCTCCGGCTTTGACCCGCGCAACTCCACCGTGACGATCTGCGAGGAGCAGTGTGACGTCGACAGAAACATGTCGACATCCACACGTCTCTACTGCCGGTCTCCGTTCAACAACAGTGAGTTTAGTCTTTCTAGTCGTCTTTATTTTACCCAGACAAAACAAACCATAAGAGGATTTAAACGTATCGAACTGTTGCTGGTTAAATGATTTATAATGATTAACTCGGGGGCTGCACAACAGGACCAGTGAGGCAGATAAGAACTTTCTTAGAAGTGTGACACATACAAATCTACGCAGAGCTGGAACTCTTTTGAAGTTGAGGGTTAAGAGGTTAGAGCCGAGGGTACATTCACAAAGAATGTGTTCTTACTGGTTTGTCACATTTTAGGCTACAGTGACAAGGTCTTGTTCGAGCTGAATGAAACCTGCTCCAATGGAGACAGACTATGTCCTGTAGGAATGTGACAGGCGGTTATCTCTGTGCACGCATCTTAACTCTTCCTATTGTTTTGTTGTGGCATGTGTCTGTCTGTCTTTCTGTCTTTCTGTCTTTCTGTTTGCGTGCGGGTGTCTCATCTCCTGTCAGGCACACAGTCAGAGCTGAGCTGCGTGGTTGCTGTCATAAATCAGCTGGATGCCGTCAACGTATCAGACGGCTTCATTTACAAATCTCAGCTGACGCCGGTGATCACCGAGGTTTCTCCTGGCAGAGGAGGCACAGCCGGGGGCACGCGACTCACAATCACCGGCTCGGGTTTCAGGTGCGGTAGAGGAGCTGCTCCTCCAGCGAACAAACACACGATACAATGGACACACCCAGAATTAAATGCTTAAGTTGCGTAACACAATTCCTCTTGTGTCACAGAATGTTTTTCTCTAAGTGGGTTTATTGTGAGGACATATAATTACATTTACAAAGTAATTAGAACAATCGTGTAAAAACTACAACGCACAATGTTATACATGCAAACATAATTACCCAACAATTAACACTTTA